ATCAAATTATCTCTCTTGTCTCTTTATCGCCACGCCCCCTCCCTCCCCCCCCTTCACGATCAAATTATCTCTCTTATCTCTTTATCGCCACGCCCCCTCCCTCCCCCCCCTTCACGATCAAATTATCTCTCTTATCTCTTTATCGCCACGCCCCCTCCCTCCCCCCCCCCCTTCATGATCAAATTATCTCTCTTGTCTCTTTATCGCCACGCCCCCTCCCTCCCCCCCCTTCACGATCAAATTATCTCTCTTGTCTCTTTATCGCCACGCCCCCTCCTCCCCTTCACGATCAAATTATCTCTCTTATCTCTTTATCGTCACGCCCTCCCCCCCCCTTCAGGAGTACCGCCGGGCAGGGAAGACCGTTCGTTCCACCGACGAGGCGCCCACCAGCAAGCGAGTCGAGGCGTTACTCAGAGTTCGACGGAAGAGTGAGCTTTTGATGTTTCTTTTTTTTTCTTCTTCTTCGTTTTCTTTTTATTCTTTCTCATTTTTTCGTTTTTTTTTCTCTTGGTGTCAAATCTGAGGGTTTTGACTTTTCAATTGTAATTTTTTCTGTCTTTTTTTGAGTTATATGTGATGATTTAGAAGCACGTACACGGACATACGCGCACACACTACCTACACGCAGACAAATACAAACACATGTGAATGTCTTTGTAAACAAGATTGCATTTATGGCTAATGCAACAATAATCATGATAAAGATAAGGTGAGGATGATCAAGATACTATTAATTGATAAATAAAGATAACCATAATAACTGGAATAATCATATTGAGAATTTGAATAATCAGAAAAATAATGATGTTAATGATGATAATGATAAATCTTAATCTTAGTGATAATGATCATAGTAACAGGAATAACGGTAACTATAACTAATAGTAATAGTAATAATAAACACAACACAACAAAAAACATCTATACAAACCAAAAACACCAAATAAAATAAAAAATAACAACCATGAAATCCAAAAAATATACAACTCACTAACCACCTCCCCCCCTTCCCTTTCTCTCCCTTCCCCCCTCCCCCCTACATCGGTAAAGGAGCCACAGTCGATTCGGTCAAGGAATCCGAGGTCAGAGTCAGGCACGAAAACGAACACATCATGAGACTGAGACTGAAACATGACCTTCCCCTTTATGTCAAGGTCACCGCGAGGCCGAACGGGGTCATGGCCTTAACGACGGGGGAGACGGATGCTCATGACGAAACAGGTAGGTGAGAGATAAGAGAGAATAAAGAGGTAAAGAACGAAATCAACGATAATAGGTTGATTAGACACGATATATTTTTATTTATTTATTTCTCGATGGGAATGGTGAGAGATAACAGATTAGATAAATACTACTACTACTAATAATAAATAAATGAATAAATAAATGGATACATAAATAAATAATTAAATGGATAAATAAATATATATATATATATATAAATTAATGAATGAATAGATAAATAATAAACATAGATAAAGGATAGGTTGGTGAGAACTTTCTTTTTTTCCTTTTTTTTGAAAAATGAAAATAAAAAGTAAAGTACAACATGAAATAGAAGATAATGAAAACAGATATATTTATCTATCTATTGTCTATATTTATTTATCTATCTATTCATTTTTTTTATTTATCTATCTATCTATAGATATATTTATCTATCTATAGATATATTTATCTATCTATAGATATATTTATCTATCGATAGATATATTTATCTATCTATCTATAGATATATTTATCTATCTATCTATAAATATATTTATCTATCTATATATAATCTGTAGGTGAGAGATAAAAAATAAGTCTGATAACAAAATGAAATAAAATATATTTATAAAATATATATAAAATATATAACTGAAATATCTATATTTTTGGATAAGAGAGATAAAAAGATAAGAGGTATGGCGAGAAAAAGATAAGAAATATGTATATATAAGAACTAATAGATTTTTTTCTTAGATAAGGTGGGTGGGAGATGAAGAAAAGATAACAAAAAGAACGGATAAAAAAGCAGGGGAGAGGAAGGAGATAAGATAAAGATAAGGAAGGAAAAATTTGTGAGAATTAGAAGATATTTTTATTTATTTATTGATAGATAGAAGACGAAAATATGAAACAGTGAAAGGGGAGAAGGAATAAAGATGAGAACGAAGGAACAAATAACAAAAATAGAAATAGAAATGGAGAAGTGAGAAGACGAAGAAAGAAAACGAAAGAGAAATTAAATAAAGAGGAGAATAATAGTAATAATAACAACAACAACAATAATAATAATAATAATAATAATAATAATAATAATAAAATACGAAATGGATTGTTAGGCAGATAAAGAGAAAAGTAAACAGATTAAATAAAAAACGTAAGCAAGATGAAAATCATAATTGTAGAAAAAAAAACGAAATTAGTAGGTAAGAGAAGGTAATAGATAAAATAAATAAATAAATAAATGGGTAGGAAAATAGGAAGAAGATAAAAAAATAATGCAGAAGAT